ACACACGGACACAAGTAATCGTCGACTCCCAGGAAGATCTGGGAAGATGTGGGAAGTGGGGGGGACGACAAACACCCAGAAAATATTGGGAAAATCATGGGGAATCCTGTTGTTAGTGTGTGTGTGTGTGTGTTTGTGTGTCCTGGGGCCCCTCCAGACATGCCGTGGCAGGACTCTATACGCACGGGACTGCCGGGACGCTCGGCCCCTGCTCCACACGCGCGGGGCCTGCCCGCCCGGGAGGCGCCGGGCAGGCCGGCGGCGGGCCTCTCTCCCCCCGCGAGCGCGCCGCACGGCCTCACCGGGGCCGCGGGGGGCGCCCGCGGCCCTCGGGGGGCGGCCCGCCCCTCGCGCCCGAGCCACGGCCTCCCCGGCGGGGTCCCGATCGGGGGCGGGCAGACTTGGGGGGCCACGTGCGAGCCCTGCCCCTGCCCCCCACGATTCCTGAGGGGGAGGGCGGGGGTCACTTCGTTCGTGGGCGGGCAGACTTGGGGGGCCACGTGCGAGCCCTGCCCCTGCCCCCCACGACTCCTGAGGGGGAGGGCGGGGTTCACTTCGTTCGTGGGCGGGCAGGCTTGGGGGGCCACATGCGAACCCTGCCCCTACCCCCCACGATTTCTGAGGGGGAGGCTGGGGTTCACTTCGCCCGGGAGCTCCCGGGCGAAGGGAACCCCGCCCTCCCCCTCAGAAATCGTGGGGGCTAGGGGCAGGGTTCGCATGTGGCCCCCTAACAGACCTCCTGCCGGAATGGGCCGTTTTCGAGCGCGAGAGGGCGTCGCGGCCGTCATTTTTGCGTGTCCAGGTCCGTCGGCTTCGGTCCCAGGCCGTTTTCACTAAGGGGAGGTTTACTAAAGGAAGGTTTGTCCACCGCCGACAGATGGGAGGAGGAGGAGGAGGAGGAGGAGGAGGCGGAGGAGGAGGAGGAGGAGGAGGAGGAGGAGGAGGAGGAGGAGGAGGAGGAGGAGGAGGAGGAGGAGGAGATAGTTTTTGGCGCAAATTGTGAGTTGGAATTTTTCGGGCGCAATTTTCGGTCAAACCCAGGCAGAGATTTGGGCACAGTTTCAGTCACGACGCTCCCTGATAGAGAAAAGGCTACGCCTTCCCTCCCCACCCGACGAATCGGGATCCCGCAAAGGGGGGAGGTGCGCCGTGGTGTGTGTGTGTGTGTGTGTGTGTGAGAGAGTTCGATCGTCTTTGGCACCGAACCGCCCAAAGCAGATGCCCCCCAGCCGCCAGCAACTCCCGGTAGTCGCCGATGGGTGGGGCATGCGGGGGGCATCTGTCTGCGGCAGCTCGGTGCACCAGCGGATTGATTTCATGTCCCCCTCAGGGTCCCCCCCTCTTTAGTGGGTGGATCCCGAGATCGGGGTCCCAGACCCCCTCGAGTCATGAAGGAGGAGGAGGAGGAGGAGGAGGAGGAGGAGGAGGAGGAGGAGGAGGAGGAGGAGGAGGAGGAGGAGGAGGAGGAGGAGGAGGAGGCCAGAGGAGGAGGAGGAGGAGGAGAGGAGGGAGGAGGAGAGGAGGAGGAGGAGGGAGGAGGAGGAGGAGGAGGAGGAGGAGGAGGAGGAGGAGGAGGAGGAGGGGTCCCAGACCCCCTCGAGTCATGAAGGAGGAGGAGGAGGAGGAGGAGGAGGAGGAGGAGGAGGAGGAGGAGGAGGAGGAAGAAGAGGAGGGGCCCCAGACCCCCTCGAGCCATGAGAGAATCACGGCGGAGGGTTGTTCGGTATGCTCGGCCGCCCGTGGCCCTCGTCGCCCGGCCTCGGCACCGCTCAAAGAGGCCGACTCGGGACGCAACGCCAGTCCCGGGGAATGGGTCAGGACGTCGGGGGGTCGACGTGAAAAATCATGACGTGTGGGGGACAGGACGGAGGATCGCGCCGCGTCGCCGATGCATCGCCGATGAGCATCGCCGGTGCGGCTCGAGGTGGAGACTGGTCCTTCTCCACGCCGATGGCGTTGATGCATCGCCGACGTCGCTGGGCGATGTGTCGCCGCTGCATCGGGGATGCGGCGCGATTCTCCGACCCCATCTGCTCGGGCCCCATCTGGGAGGCCTCCAACGCTGCGCCGCCTCGTCAGACCGTTTCTCCGACCTTGACAGTTCTTCTTCGGTCTCGGCGGGAAAAGGGCGCAGCGCGGTCTCTCGGCCTGGAGGAGGAGGAGGAGGAGGAGGAGGAGGAGGAGGAAGAAGAGGAGGAGGAGGAGGAGGAGGAGGAGGAGGAGGAGGATCGAGGTGGGCACGGAAGAGAGGTGGGGCCGAAGAGCAGCAGCCGTTCCTGCCCCTCTCGAGCAGGCCTCGCTGCCAGCGCCTCCGCGGACGTGGCCCGCTCGAGCCGAGCCGTCGTCTGCCCACCAGCGGCCGCTGCCGGTTTTGGACACCGCTTGCTGATGGGCCTCGTACAGTGGATGCTTTTTTGAGTATTTTTTGACCTTTCTGGGTTATTTTTGGGGTATTTTTGATTTTTCGTCGAAAATCCTCCTGTAGGGGGACAGGCCCGACTTAATGCTAAGGGGATACAGTGGATGCACACGCCAAGAAACACCCTGCTTGCCTTCAGGGTGCCCTGGGCTTCATGGGCTTCGATGGTTCTGCTGTGGGAGGCAGGGCGTTCCCACACCAAGAATCCGTGGACGTCCTGGTGTCTCGGGGTTGGGTTTCTTGTGGCATGTTTCGTGTGGTCGGGCCGCTGCTGTACCCAGTCTCTCCGCACCCGCTTCGGGTCTGCCAGCCCAGGGCGCAGAAGGGGGCCGCGCAGGGGGGCGGCCTTGCAGACAGGCCGCGGGGCCTCCCGGAGGGGCGAGGGTCAGTATCTGTTTTCGCCCGGCCTCATCCCGCTTCGACCATGTTATCTCAGCCCCACCATCCCACCCCCCTCCAGTTGGGGATATGTCCCGCGAAACCCGAAGGGAACAGCATGTACGGCGAGGGTGCCTGGTGCGGAGCGACACCCCCCTTGGATGCCATGCACAGCCCCCCCTGGACGCCCCGCTGGCACCGCCGGTGCGGACCGCTACGAACCCCATGGGATGCACGGGCCCTCCCGGGACGCGCCGCTGGTGCGGCCCCGTACGAAGACCCCCGGGATGCGCCGAGATGCGAGCATGCGGGAGCGTGTGGGAGCTCCCGGGGACCAGAGAGCGCGTACGTCCACCGCCAGAATATGTCCACATCCACCGCTTCGGAGTCGTGCCCTGGAATCTCGAGGATTAGTGGATATGGATATCTGCCCGACCGCGTGAGCGGGCAGATATCCATATCCGCCGCTCCCCGAGTCCTCGCAACACGACCCAGCAGCAGTGGATATGGTCAAATTCTGGCGGCGCAGTACGAGCGTCCAGGGTGCTGCTTGGGAGCCTTGGGGCGCGTCCTGCGACGGCGACGGCGGCGACGACGACGACGACGAAGACGTCCATGCAGCCCCCCAAAGCGGTGGTCGCTCTCCTGAGGTTTGAGTGTGAAGCGTGCCCAAGCTTGACCTGGTCTCCACGGGTTCACTGCAGTCCATCGGCGTCACCCCAACATACTCATACTATGTGTGCGTCGCCCCCCCCCCCCCCCCCCCCCCCCCACACGGGCGACGCGCGCGCCGAGAAATCTTCTAGTGTATGCGTCGTGGCGGGAGCTGTCTGGCCACACCGCTCAGGAACCGATATACTACAAGATGGGTATACTAAATGTTCGGGTCGGACGCGCGCCTCCAAGGAGGTCTGTCCCAGTGAACCCGCAGAGTAAGGATGAGCGACTTTCCAAGGCTATCCTCGCATCCTTCCCCTTCGGCCCATCCTCAGCGACTTTCCCTGGCCAGCCTCGTTCGGAATTCGTTCGCATGGCCCTCCAGGGCCCTTGCATCCTTACCGCGCATCCTCATTACACGGGTTGACTGTACGGGCGGGTGGGAGTGCACGATACGGCTTGCGGGCGAAGGGTGGGCCTCGATTGTAAGGAGGAGGAGGAGGAGGAGGAGGAGGAGGAGGAGGAGGAGGAGGAGGAGGAGGAAGAGGTAGAGAGGGAGAGGAGGAGGAGGAGGAGGAGGAGGAGAGGAGGAGGAGTAGGAGGAGCAGAGGAGGAGGGAGGAGCAGAGGAGCAGGAGCAGGAGGAGGATTTGGAGGAGAGAGGAGGAGGAGTTCAACATCAACCGCAGAGAGAGGTGAGGGCCGCCAGATTGAAACAGCCTGGGCTGAGACAAAAGCTGGCGGCAGCGGACCAAGGCGGTGGCCGACGCGCACGACGGGCACCCCAGGGACCGAGGTCAGTCGGAGTCGTCAGACCCCGCAGACCTCAGAAGTGCAGCACGCCCTCGAGCGACACGAAGACCGCGAGGAAGTAGCCGAACGGCACGTGGAGCACGAAGTACAGCTGCCACACATAAGCAGGAGGGATAACATCACTGCTGCTTGCATTCCGCCTCCTGCGGGGGGCCGATGCCAGAAGCCTGCGAAACTGCGCCCTGCGGTACCTTCAAGCCAGGATCGGAAAACACAGGGCTGCGACGAACCACCTCATTCTTGCGGCTCTTCGTGGAGAGACCTCGGCGATCTCGATAACCGCAAGCACCTGCACTCTGATCTTCACTATCGAGATCTACACCACCCTGGCGAAAGGAACCAGGGGCGAAAGAGAAGGGGACTCCTCGCACACCTCCTCCTCGACCCTCTTCGCCCGCGGTTCCCAGCTCCTGCACCGAGCCCTGCACGAACTCGGCGTCGGTCTGCGAAAGCTCCGCGTCGGGCTGGGCGTCGGGCTGGGCGTAGGGCTCCTCGGTCACCTCGTACTCTGTGGCGTCGTGCGACCAAGGCTCAGATGGCTGGAAGCACTCCGCCTCGGCGCGGAGCGCGCTCGACCGTGCAGCAGCTCGAGGCGTCCCCGTGCCGCGCGGCACCCCAGCGCATTCAGCCGTGCTCGACGAGAATGCGACCGCCCCGCATGTGCACCGCGTGCCGACGGATTGGTGGGATTCCATCGGCTCCCAGCGTCCCAGCCCCAAACAGAAAGCGGGGACGTCGTTGCAGAGAGCCGAGGGCGCTGCCGTGGTCTCTATGGCCGCCAGACCCTCGCGCTGGAGCCTGTTGAGCGCCGTCTGCGAGGCGCCCTCGATGACCGCCACGGGGACGTCGAAGGCGTGCGACGCCAGGTTGCGCTTGGCTCTGGCGGTGCCAGGGGCCCGCACCCCTGCGAGGCCAGCTGCCAGGACAGGCACGATCAGCCGAAGACGACGTCGCAACTCATCGCAGCGGCCTCCTTGCCCTCCGAGAAAGAAAGCTTCGGCATCCTCCTCCAGCGCCGAGACGAGGCCGTGCGCCTCGTCGAGCTTGGCCTGGAGCTTGGCGATGGCTCCATCCGCCGCCTCCCGGGCCCGCCACGCCGCAGCAGAGCGCTCCGCCCGGGTCCTACCACGAGCCCCAGAGAGGGACCCGTCCCGCGCCATGCTCCGTGAGCCAGAAGCCCCGCTCCCCCAAGTCCCCCCCGCCCGCCAGCGTTGCCCCGTGAATCTGGGGTCGCGGGGTACGGCTGGGGACAAGGTCCAGGAGCGGGGGGCCTACGGAAAGGCCTGCCAAAAATGGCTACGGGAGGAGGAGGAGGAGGATGGAGGAGAAGATAGGAGGAGAAGAGGAGAAATGGAGGAGGAGGGGAGAAGAGGAGGAGGAGGTAGGAGGTGGAGGAGGAGAGGAAAGGAGAAGGAGGAGAAAGTCGGAGGGCGGGGGGGCGGGGAGGAAGGAGGGAGTAGGAGTAGAGATGAGGAAAAGAGAGGAGAGGAGCATAAGGAGAGGACGATGATGAAGATACGCAGGAGGAGGCAATCGACATACCCTACCTCCCCTTATTGGGCCCCCCGAGACGGCACAAAGGGAGCCTCCCCTCCCTCGCTCCCTTCCTGGAGGAACCTCGAACGCACCCCCAGTAATTTTTTTTTTCCGTAGCCTCTGCTCCGCCCAGCCCTGTCGATCCAGGGCCCGCGGACTGACGCCCAGAGAGAGAGAAAGAGAGAGAGAGAGAGAGAGAAGGAGAGAGAGAGAGAGAGAGAGAGATATAAAGAAAAGAGAGAGAGGGAGAGAGAGAGATATCAACAAAAGAGACATATATATAGAAAGAGAGAGAGAGAGAGAGAGAGAGAGGGAGAGAGAGAGAGAGAGAGAGAGGGAGAGAGAGAGGGAGAGGGAGAGAGAGGGAGAGAGAGATAACAAATAAACAACACATCAGAAAACCCTCGGGCTCTGGAGGTCTGGGCCTGATGCCTCTCCCCAGACATCCTCCGATCTGATCGCCTTTTCCACGCGCGGCCCTCCGGGCGGTCCCGACGACCCCTTCCATGTTGGCATGGCTCTCGCCTCCTCCTCCTGCTCCTCCTTCTCCTCCTCCTCCTCCCTCCCTCCCTCCCTCCCTCCCTCCTCGTCCTCCTCGTCCTCCTCGTCCTCCTCGTCCTCCTCCTCCTCCTGGACCACGGGGGGCCCAGGCCGAAGAACCACGTCGGGATGGAGAACATCCTGCGGTGGGGGAGCTTGTGCTCCGCGTGCCGCGGCGGCGGCTCTGGAGGCACGCCATGCCATGCGAGCTGATGGCGTGTCGCTCCGTTCCGAGGGGCAAGGGCCTGGGGGAAGCTCGGAACGCCTACGGTCGGGCCGCCGAACTGAGGAACGATGCCCCTCCTGTGGCCCCAGCAGCGCCCGCGTGCGCGAGGAGGGCTAGAGGAACAGCCATGGCAGGACCCAAGGAACGTCGGGCCCCTTCCGCACCCAAACTGTTCCGCACTTCAGCGCCTTGGCTGCACGCCGGGTCACTGGCAAGTGCTCAGCGCGTCGCGCAGAAGCGTACTGGGACACGCGCAGCCAACGCTCCCGACCGCACCGCAGGAGATCTGGGTCTCCTTCTCCGCCTTCTCCTTCTCCTTCTGCTCCTCCTCCTCCTTCTCCTTCTCCTCCTCCTCGTCCTCCCCCTCCTCCTCCTCCTCCTCCTCCTCCTCCTCCTTCCTCCTCCTCCTCCCTCCTCATCCTCCCTCCTCCCTCCTCACCTCCTCCCTCCTCCCTCCACCTCCTACCTCATTCCCTCCTCCCTCGTCCCTCGCCTCGTCCTGTCCTCGTCGTCCTTCACTCCTCCTCCTCCTCCTCTTCCTTCCCTCCACTGAAACCCCTCCCATCATATCCCTCCCACACTCCCTCCACCTTCTCCCCTCCTCCTCCGCCCCCGCCTCCTACCACCTTTCCTCTCTCCTCCCTCCTCCTCCTCTTTCTCTCCCCCGTCCCTCGTCCGTGGCCTCGTGTCTTGTCGTCGTCGTCGTCGACGTCCTCGCCGTCGTCCCGCGTCCGCGTCGTCGCCGTCGCCGTCGTCGGCCTCCTCCTCCTCCTCCTCCTCCTCCTCCTCCTCCTCCTCCTGGACAGAACGGGGCACGATGCAACTTTTTCGCCCGCTGGTCGCCGTCGTGCCGTCCTCGCCCCCTCGCGGGGCGCGCGGCGGCACGCGCGGCGACCGCGCGCGGGCACCCCTGCAGGGGTCACCACGCGAAGTCGGAGAGCCGCCAGTCCTCGTAACTGCCGTCCGGCAGGAACCTCCGCTCTCCTCCTCCCTGCTCCTCCTCCTCCTCCTCCTCCTCCTCCTGCTCCTCTTCCTCCCTGCTCCCTGCTCCTCCTCCTCCTCCCTGCTCTCCTTCTTCTTGCACTTTTCTGATCACGTTTGCACTCATACTTCCATTCTACTGGAACTGATACACCTACGGCATGTACTACAACGGCGGCTACTGCTAGTGCTACTAATGGTAACTAATACTCGTACTCACAGTGGTACCAAACTGTGTTAATAACCGTCAGGTTTGATTCTTGGATCGTCGCAATGGTATTAGTCGTCGTAGTAACAGTCGTAGCCAGAGCCGTCTATTAGTTCTAGCAGTAGTAATCCGCCGACCTGGTCGGCGTGTGTGAGGGGCTTGTCGCGGTCCAATTCGCATTGGTAT